AAATCTATACGAGTAGTGTTTCTAAGGAGGGAAAACGAGTGTCTATATAGTCGAGTAATTAGAGAGCTTCAATCCTATATAATCAGCTCTAGACTAAGTAAATGCATGTACATTACATACTTCTCTATACTCCCCTCAAGTTAGGGGTTTATAGAAGTCATAAACACTTAACTTGGATAAGAGAAGGTGATGAAGCTTGTTGCCCAAACCTTTGGTAAAGATATTTGCAAGTCGCTTTGTTGAGGGAATGAAGACGACCTTAATCAACCCGCATTTGATCTTGTCTCAAGCTAGATGATAATAAATATCAATGTGCTTGGTTCACTCATGAAAAACTAGGTTGGATATAATGTGAAGGGCTGTTTTATTGTCACAATGTAGAAGGGCGATAGCTAAAGATGTAACCTGCAGACTTACCCAAAAGGCCAACTAACCAAATCAACTCACAAGTGGGTGAAGCCATTGCCACGTACTTAGTTTTTGTAGAAGACTTAGATACCGTGTTTTGCTTCTTTGTCTCCCAAGATACAAGGGAATTCCCAAGAAAAATACAAAAACCAATTAATAATCTTCTAGACATAAGACAAGAAGCCTAGTCAAAATCATAGTAGACTCAAAGTCGCATATCGAGTGGAAGAAAAGAGCAAAATGCCCAACGCCGAATACCTTTAAGATACCTTAATACCGGAAGAGTAGAATTCATATAAGACACTTTAGCCTAATGCATAAACCGACTTAGGATTTGCACATTATAGCAAATATCAAGACGATTCATAGTGAGATAAATTAATTTGCCCACTAATCGTTGATATTCTATAGGGTCGGAGAAGAGTGGATCGGAGGTGGCAATTGAAGCTAAAGTTTCATCAAACCGAAAGGAAGTCAATTTCATATTTTGTTCAATAAGCATCTCAACAAGCTTGGATGCAAGCAAACCAGATATCATGGAGTAATTCCATGGTGTACTTCCTTTAGCTTAAACGGATCTCATGATCGGATCTTGTAACTTCTATGCCCAAGAAGTATTTCAAGGAATCCAAATCCTTAATATAAAAAATATCATGCAAAAAAGCCTTTAAATGTTGAATACCAGCAACATCATCCCCCGTGATCGATGTGTCATCGATATATACTAACAAAACCACAACTTTGTTATCGATGACTTTTATGAACATGGAATAATCATGCTTAGATTGGGTGAACCTCGCCGGTATCATTTGCTCGATGAACTTAGAATTCCACTACCTAAAGGCTTGTTTAAGACCATATAGGGACTTAAGTAACTTGCACACCAAATTCCCACCAGGTTTGCTAAGTCTAATAGGTAATTGCATATAAACCTCTTCATGCAAATCATCTTACAAAAAGGCATTTGTAACATCCATTTGATAAAGAGACCAATTCTTGGCAACGACTAAAGCAATACAAGCCTAGCAGTGGCCATTTTAACAATTAGAGAAAATGTCTTAGTATAATCCACCCCTTCTTATTGGGTATAACCTTTGGCTACTAATCTTACCTCATATCTATCCACACTACCATCGAATGATATTTCACCTTATATACCCATTTACACCCAATAGGTTTCTTACTATGTGGTAAAGGAACTAATGTCCATGTGTGGTTCAATTCGAGGGCTTGAAGTTTCTTATCCATAGCATCTATCCACTTAGGATTCCTAATAACTTTAGAGTAAGAAATAGGTTCTCTAGTAGATGAAATAAAAGTAAGAAACACTCGAATGAGACGAAGAAAAAGAATCAAGGGAAATGTAGTTAGTGATAGGATAAGGAATAGTAGGGTTGAGATGAGTAAAATGAGATTGGGGCAAGGTAAGACAAGAATAATCTTGAGACCAAAATGGTTTTTAGGTATTCCGGTAGATTTTCGAATGGGAACAATCGGATACGATAAGGGAAGGATATAACTAATCGGAGGTAGGTGAAGGTAGAGTGGAAATATCCGAAACAAAAGCGAGGCGAGTGAAAGGTATAGAAGATATAGGAGGAGAAACATGATGATGTGAAGAATCATCATTATCATATATCCATTGAGAAACGAGTAGGCATATTATAACTGGATGTATCGGTTGAAACATAAGAAGAATGAAAAAGAAATAATGTTTCTTGAAAAGATACATCGCGAGACATAAATATATGTTGAGTATGTAAATTTATGACTTTATAACCCTTTTGTGAATATGGATATCCCAAGAAAACAAAAGGTTGAGACCGAGGAGCAAACTTATCAAGAGTAGGTACCACTTTGGCATGACATAGACAACCAAATACCTTAAGGTGATCAAAGGCGGGAGGCTTATGAAATAATATGTCATATGGAGTTTGCCCTTGTAATAAGGGTGTAGGTGTTCTATTTATGAGATATGTGGAAACTAACACACAATCTTCCTAAAATTTGATTGGTTTATTAGATTGAAACATTAGGGCTCGTGCAATATTGAGAATATGCCTATGTTTTCATTCCACTACACCATTTTACTAAAATGTGTAAGGAACAGAGGTTTCATGGAGGATTCTTTAAGAAGAAAGAAATTCTTGATAAGTCTGCGTTTAATGTGAGATCGAAACTAAGTTGTAACAAGAACACAAAAGTGCTTTAGTAAGGGAAGAACTTGAGATTTGATTTTCATAAGAAAGGTCCAAGTGCCACTTGAAAAATCATCAATTAGGGAAAGAAAGTATTATTCTCCATTATAAGTGGAATGTTTATAAGGTCCCCATATGTCAGCATGAAGGAGGTTAAAAGGGGAATGGGTGACCGATGTGTTGTAAGGAAAAGGATTGCGTGTTTGTTTGGCCGGTGGACAAACTTCGCGAATAATTCGAGTTATGAGGTGATATGGAAAGGCCCGGAATTAGTTTAAGTCTAGAAAGAGATATATGTCCAAGAAATTTATGCCAAAGATTTACATCTCCCGATAAAGAAGTAACAAAAGCCTTATTACAAGAAAAATCATGAATTTTGGAAGATACAAATTTCGAAGACACGAGTATTAATAGTAGAATTGTGAGTACAAGATAGCGTTTTATGAATACAAGGCAAAGATGTAAGCAATGCGAAATCAAATGAGGATGATAAAATATGATATGGAGCATCATTGACTTTACCAATCCCCTTTGTCTATCCAAGTCTTGAGGTCCCGAAACAGTACAATAGGTTGGGTAAAAGGAAGCAAAACAAGGATTGTTAATGGTGAATTTATTGATCGACAAGAGATTGAATTTGAAATCGGACGGATATAACACGTTTTGAATTGTAAATGATGCAAATACAACTGATCCTATATAAGTAACTATAGTCCTATTGCCATTAGGCAATCTAACAATGAAACTATATGCTAAAAGCCTAGGATTAATCAAGCAATTAAAATGACCAATCATATGAAATTGACACCGGTATCCACAATCCATTCATCAAGAATAGAAACCACATCAACAAGATTGTAGAAAAACTCACCAACCATGTTTGCTATAAGAGCATTTTGTTGAGTCAATTACCCCAAAGATGCATCCTTTGACGGAAGTCCAATATTTGTCGGTACTCGTTGATGAGAAAATGCCGATGGTGAAGTCGATATTAACCTATCCGTATGGCCAATGCTATGTACTCTTGGATTGTGATTCATTTGGCTCATATTGGAACAAGTACTAGAGCCATACTCGTCTTAGAGGATACTATCCTATATGGCCAGTAGCAACATTAGCGAGTGTAACTCCTCCGCCTATCTCCACCAAACTTAACACTTTCACCTTTTCGACCTCTATTGGGAATGAAGGACCGTTTACTAAGATTAGGATATCCATGGAGTTTGTAGCACGAATCCTTAGTATGCCCCGAGATGTGACGAGTAGTCATATACGATGTCTTTGTGCCAAGTTCCTCCGTCATTAAGTTGCTTCCCTCGAGGTAAGGTCTTAGTCGAGAAAAAGCGAGTAGACATCTCATGGTGTGGAGTAATGCTTCTCCGTGATTCTTCATTAGACACCATAGAGTAAGCTCATGAATAAGTAGGCGAGTGGACTCATTAACAAAATCTGTGATTTCCTATATTGATATTGATAATCTAAACCCATCGAAATTGCATCATCTTGTGCTGCTCGTGTATACTTCACAAACGGTTGAGAAATCTCACTATGGAAAGTTAAACAAATAGAGGTCAATGTAGGGATCAAGGAGTCATACCGATCCCAAAGTTGTCCGAGCTTCGAATAATAAACTACAACACTATTAGAAGCTTGTACAAGAGAATTAATTGCCTTATGTAGAGCAACTATCTTTGCACCGTAATGTTTATCAAATCGTTCCTTCAAATCCTTCCACACTTCTTCGGCAAACCGATAATACACCAATCCATTGTATAATTGAGTAGGTACTCGAATTCAAAATCCACGCATGAACTAATGCATTACACTTTTTCCATTGCTTATAATCTAGCGAATCAAGATTAGGTTTAGAAACCTTGCTAGTGATGAACACATCTTTGCTCTTAGCTTCAAGTGAAATCATCATCGCCTTGCTTTAGGAATTATAATCTTCTTCTCCTTGGAGCAAATGTGTAACAAGAATTAGGTTTGGAGTATCAAAAGGATGTAGATATAACGGGTCATTCACATCCCGTATTGCCGTAGCTCTAGTTGAATCAACGACTAGAATCTCCATAGAACAGAGATGAAATTGAGTATTGAGAGAAATTTGTGAAGAGCAAGACGAATCAGAATCAACAAGTGCAATCGGTCGAAGAATCTAGAAGATTCTGGAAGATTCTAGAAAAAAAAAATCAATTTTGCATGCCCTAACTCTAATACCATGTTAAGAAGAGAGCATTTGGGAAAGAGACTCTGTTGTATTTAAATCTGTACAGTAGTGTTTCTAAGGAGGCAAAACAGAGTTTATATAGCTGAGTACTTAGAAAGCTCTAATCCTATACATTCAGCTCTAGACTAAGTAAATGCATGTACATTACATACTTCTTAATACAAATGAGGAGAGCCATAATAGGGAGCGATGTTTTTCAAATTGTTTATTTTCATTTTCAAGGGAGTTTCAAAGATTGCTTCAAAGGAAGTAATGCTACGCTGGTCACCCTAGACAGCAGAATTTCATTGGTAGACAAAATTTAAATTTTTATTATTATATGATGTTCCTTCGCATGAAAGTAAGCACTACAAGTTTAATTAATGTCCATATATTAACTATCATCTTAGACTTCGAACTCCTATATGAACTTAACCAGATTAATCAGATTGTAAATGATCAGAACTTAGAGAATTGCAATGGAGTTCCAACAGGCAGACACCACCCATTTGAACACAGACTTCTGTCTATTGATGACAAACAAAGTTTTGCTAAAAGAAGCTGAAAAAGGTTTCAATTTTGTTGTCCTCTCCGTTGTCATTCCATGTTATGTTGAGCCTTGTTGCTGCAGGATCAAGAGGCCAGACATTACAGCAGCTTCTTTCCTTCCAGGGATCCTAGAGTATTGGCAAACTGAATCAATTATCATCGCATTTTACCACTCTTACTTCGCTTGGCAAGGGAGGTAATCATACAGAGAAAGGTAGCTTCACTTCTTTTGAAGTGTTTTAAAATTTCACATTTTAACAACGTTTATTTCATTGCCAGGCAAAACCAGAAATGAACGCACTGGAGGTCCAACCTTCTTGTTTGCTAATGGTGTTTGGGTCGAACAGAGTTTTGTATTGAAGCCTTCTTTTCAAGAGATTGCAAGAGATACTTACGAAGCCAAAACTGAAGAAGTTGACTTTGCAAACAAGATAATTTCGGTGAATTATTTGTATTTTAATGTTTCGCTACTTCTGAAACTAATTGTTCTTTCATTAAATGAACGATTCAGCACTTTTATGCCGGAAGTGATCCAACAATGGTTTGTATAATTCCGTTTTGGCATGTGCTAATGCCTTCTAGTAATCTACTGCACTTGACTGTGAAGGCTGATGAAGAGAATTCATGGGTTGAAAAGGCAACCGGAGGGCTAATAAAGGAAGTCCTCCCATCAGGATCTATAGACCGCGAAGCAAGACTCGTTCTCGCAAATGCACTGTACTTTAAAGGATCATGGGATCAACCTTTTAATCCATCAAAGACGCAGCATCGTAATTTTCACTTTCTTGATGGAAAAATCGTTCAAGTGCCCTTCATGACAGGTAACATATATGAGCAATATCATTGGCGAACCTTCGATGGCTACAGGGTACTTCAACTTCCCAACCAAGGAGGTGAAGAAACCAGGAAACTTTCCATGTATTTCTTTCTACCAGATGAGAAAGATGGCTTGCCAAATCTAGTTAAAATGTTCAATTCCAAACCTGGCTTCCTTAATCAGCAATTCAATCTGCGGCTTAAAGAACTTGATGATTTTTGGATCCCAAAATTCAAATTCTCTTTTGAGTTTGAGGCCTCAGAAACCAAGAAAGAACTGGGACTTCACCGGCCTTTCTGTCCAGGGGAACTCAAAGAGATGGTGAATTCTTCCAGCAGTGAAAAACTTTACCTTTTAAAAGTATTCCAGAAGTCATACACTGAAGTTAACGACGAAGGGACAGAAGCCGCTGCTAGCACTGCAGCTTCAATTATACTTTGTTGTGCTACATATCCTGCTCCAAGTTTTGTAGCAGACCATCCTTTCATGTTCATAATAAGGGAAGAACACTAGAATGGCATTATTAATTCACCGGAGCGGTGATCAACCCGCTCACAGAAAACCAATGAACTTGTAATTCAAAAGGAACAACAGTTGCCCTTGGCAATCCAATGTTAGAAAAATAAAAACCAGCTGCCCTTGGCGTCCTGAATATAACATGACAGCAAATAACAGTTGAACTCTTGAATTATGTAACATGCCTTCTTCCTAAATCTTGGTATTGCTTGATGCTGCAGATCTTAGTATGCATAATGTGGCAAAGAAAGTTAAGTGAATATGATAGGCATTCCTCCGTCATGTAACGTTGATAAAAGTTGCTGGCCGTGGTTCATAAATTTAAATTTATATAATAATTTTTGAAAATTTTGTTATTGTTATTTCACGTTATATTACAATTGTGATCATTATTTTAATATTATTTTAAACCACGACTTATAATTGCCATAGCAACTATTTTTTCAATAATGTCTATAATTTAAAATTATATCATGGTCAGATTTTGTAAATCCTTTGGGAAATTACACTGGCATTGAAGATTCCCATTCACAATTACAATCCATGTCCTCTAAAACAAAAATTCATAAATAAAACTCAGCTAGCGATCTCTAACACCGCCACGTACCCCACCTTCTTAAGGACAAATCAGCCTCAGATCGTCAATACCCATAATACCATGAATATCATCAAATAAACAGGACAAAATACTTTTTTTGGTTTTTTAAGTTTTAGACTTTTGTTTGAAAAATAAACTTACTTATTTCAAATTCTTTCATGATTTTATGAGTAACCGCGTGACGGAATCTACCTAGCCTTGTACAGTATTCTAATCCTAGCCGGCAGATTTTCAACGGTTCCATCCCTTATAAGTTCCATGTCCAAAATTGATCAATATGGACCTTTTACCTGTAATTTCCATTACGAACTTGACCAAGATCATCATACTGTAAAATTATCCAAAGTTCCAGTAATTTTAATGGAGTTTCGACAGACAAATACCACGCATTTTAACACAGATTTCTGTCTTTTAATGACAAATCAAATCTTGCTAAAACAAGTTGAAAAGGGGTCCAATTTCGTATCTTCTCCTCTGTCACTCCATGTGATGTTGAGCCTTGTTGCTGCAGGATCAACAGGTCAGACTTTAGAGCAACTTCTTGGCTTCCTGGGATCGAAGAGTATTGCCGAACTCAATCAGCTGTCATCACAGATTAACAATCTTGTTTCTCTCGTGGAGGGAGGTAATATATGTCACTATAATAGTTATCAGTGTATAGGTAATATGTTTATGAGATTCAATCAGTTGTCATTGCAGATGAACTTTTTCTTGTTTTCCAGCTGAAACTGCCAACGAGCCTACCACAGGTACTCCAACCTTGTTGTTCGTTAATGGTGTTTGGGTTGAAAAGAGTTTCGGGTTGAAGCCTTCTTTTGAAGAGATTGCAAGTGATACTTACAAAGCCAAAACTGAACTAGTTGATTTTACAAACAAGGTAATGTTTCTTAGATTGTATTGAAAGGTCATCTTTTATGAAATTCTGCCATTGATTGTAGTTTTTTTATCCGGGGATTAATTGTCCTTGGATCAAATGAGACCATTTTTTTTTTTTTTTAATAATAAGATTAAAAAGAAGTGAGATGCAAAAAAAAAAAAAAAAAAAGATCAGAAATCTGAAGGGATCTAACGATGACTCTTATGTTTATCTCTAAAGGCTGATGAAGTACTACTTGAAGTGAATTCATGGGCTGAAAGAGCAACAAGAGGACTAATAAAGGGACTCCTCCCATCAGGATATGTAGACTGCAATACAGCTCTAGTCCTTGCAAATGCCTTGTACTTTAAAGGAGCATGGGATCAACAGTTTGATACATCAAAGACAGAACATCGTGACTTTCACTTTCTTGATGGGCATATTGTTCAAGTCCCCTTCATGACAGGCAAGAAATATGAGCAATATCTTTACCGTGACTGTGATGGTTATAGGGTACTCCAACTTCCCTACCAAAGTGGACAAAGCACTAGGCAATTTTCCATGTTTTTCTTTCTCCCAGACAAGAAAGATGGTTTGCTGAACCTAGTCAAAATGTTAAATTCTAAACCTGGCTTCTTCAATCAGCAATTTGATCTGCAGTCGCGAGTAGAACTTCCTGATTTTTGGATACCAAGATTCAAATTCTCTTATCATTTTGAGGCCTCAGAAACCCTGAAAGAAATGGGACTTCAGCTACCATTCTATCCTGGGGAGCTCGGAGAGATGGTGAATTCTTCCAACAGTGAAAACCTATATCTTTCAAAAGTATTCCAGAAGGCATATATTGAAGTTAATGAGGAAGGGACTGAAGCTGCTGCTAGCACTGCTGCTACAATGAGATGGTGTTCTGCATCATATCCAACTCCTAGTTTTGTAGCAGATCATCCCTTCATGTTCATGATAAGGGAAGAGACTACTAGAACTGTACTCTTCACTGGAGCGGTGCTCAACCCACTTTCCTTTTGCTGATTGCGAACAATAATTGAAGTCTTGAATTATTTAGAATCTTGATTATTAGCTTGTTCATGTAACATGTGTTCTTGCTAAATTCTGTCTCATATCATGCTGCAGACCTTTTTCCTACGCATTAGAGTTGCATGATGAGGAATTAGCAGTACATAAAGCGTTCTCATTGGCCTTCATTGATTAATAGCGTCCGTTGATTTGTTCTCTTCCATATGGATAATGCACAGACAATGGTGCATTTTCTTTTCAAGTAATTGCGTTTGGAACCTTTTCACGGGATCTAATATTCTTTATTTTCTGCAAAATGATCATTACAATGATTTCAAGTACTGGTTATTTTGAGTTTAAGTTTTTTCAATCACTTTTATGCTGCAAAAGGAATTTTCTCAGGTAGTAACACAACTACTATGCAGAGAGAAACAGACATTTGAGGGCCTGAGGCCTCAAGATGATCTTTCCCGGTTCAAGAAGCCAGAACTACTGTTTTCATTGATCCACTTTATTTTGTTCCAGTTAAGGAAATGAGCAATGTTCACCATGATCAGATGTTCAAAGTAAAGTTGTAGTATTCACCATGCTTTCCGTTTCTTCTTTGCTGGAAAATGACCTTATAGTTTTGTTTGGAAGTAGTAAAACTGACATCAGATTCTTTTCCTTTAACGAATTTTCATCGCAGATGCATTTGCACTGGCTTCATTTTTTTGGTTCTGGGTGCCTCCTCTTTTTCCTGGGTTTGTATTGATTCAATTTCACTAATTTCTTTTGAGAAATGTTTAAAAAGCACTTAAAGAAAGATGATCACAGATCAAAGGAATCGCAAAAAGGGAAATAAGAATTTTTTTTTTTTTAAGCCTTTCCTAATGAGATTTTGGATCGGTACATTTCAAACTAATCTGTGTTTTGTTGATTAATTTACAGTGGCAATTTGGGTACAAGTCCTGCTTTATAAGGAATCGTTTCTTGCTTAAAATATGAGTACTTATTTTGAAGTATGGATATATTTCAGCTAGTTCAGACTTTGTTGGTCAGCTTTCATCCAGCTTTAAAACCATTTCGCCGTTGTATTTTCTTTTAGGTTTTCTGGGCAGTTCCTCTGCAGCTACAGCACCTTGCCAATATTGCATCGAGAAATACTGTTATCTATGGAAAAACTTATATCACAAGCAAGATAATACTAATACAAAATCTGCTAGCCAATTTACATCATAACAAACCAGTAGTCAATGCATACCATGAGCAAGAAATTAGTAATATATAATCTACTATAAGTTACTTTTAACTCGTATCAGATTTATGCAGATATACACAACTCAGAGACATAACACTCTTTACAGACATATATATATATATATATATATAGCCTTTCAGCCTAATGGAAAATGCTAGCTGCATGCCACTACATTCTACTATAGTCTTCAGAATTTTATTTTTTTGATTATTTATTTATTTATTATTATTATTTTTTTTTAATGAAATTTAATGCCTTGTTTCCTACAATACTTCTCAAATGGACCCATGTATTCATCTTTGTTGTCGCTCAATAACATTTTATTTTCCTGTTAGTTTCCATTTTAATTCTAGCATAGAAATCCTTAAAGATATCAAGCACTTGATTTTTGAATTTTAAATAAATGATCCAAATTTTTCTGGAATAATCGTTAATAAAACTAACATAGTACAAAATATCTTCAAGGGACTTGTTAGTCATAAAACAAATATAAGTATGAATTAAGTCAAGAACATGAGATCTTTTATATAGAGTTGATTTATGAAATGTTGTTTATCAACTGAACATTAGGTGAAAGTGTTCAAGTTCATAACTTTCAAATGATCAAGAAAATTCTTCTTGGCAACCAAGGCTTTTCTCACTCATATTCCAAGCCGCTTAGGCTAGATCAGTGAAGGCACATTCAATTGCATTTACCTTTTTTTAATCACCTTAGCTTGTGACATATAGATACCTATCTTCTTATCTTTAGCAACAAACAAAAAACCTTTGGAGAGCTTTCATTTACCATCTCTAGAAAAACTACGATAGCTTTTCTTCATCAAGTTTATCTGTAGAAATCAAGTGCGAGCGCATATTAAGCATACTTAAACGAGTAACTTGCATCCAATATCAATTTCTAAGTAAATATCTGCAAAACCCACAACACTAGTCGTCCATTTATTTCTCATCCTAACTTGGCCAAAGTCTCCACTAATGTAAGATGTGAAGAAATATCATAAAGATGTAACATGGTAAGAAGCAATTGAACCTACAACCTAGGTGGTATCTTAACAAATAAGATTTACACAACCATCACCGCAAACAAATACAACATCAACGTCATAAACAACTATAGCTATACCATTTCATTTTTGTCTTTAACTTTATCCTTATGATTCTCTTGTACTTTTTGCAATCCCTTTGGATATGTCTAGACCTGTCTCAATAATAACACTTCATTTCCTTTTTTGATCATTTCCTTTTTTTGACTAAGATCTCCCTCTAGACTTCCATATGTTTTTTCTATCTTTGGATTCTCTATCCTACTTACCACAAGAAATCTACTTTGACTTCTCCTTTGGTTTTTTATAATAAGTATATCTGACTCTAAAAATGCTTGACCTTTTTCTTCTTTTCTTTTCATTAAGAATACTATCATTCATTATCTTTAAAGTGAGCTTTGCATTTGAAGTAGAGTTATTAAATGACACCATCAAAATCTCTCAATTATCCGACAATAAACTCAATGTGATTAGTGTTTGTATCTAATCGGCTAATTCGGAACTCATCGACAACAACTAATTCCAAAACAATCAATATGTAAATTTTTTACATACAAAAACTCTAGTGTGTGAAAAACATGGGATCATAGTTCACTCAAACATTTTAACAATATTAAATAATAAGTTACAAAGTTCTCCTAAGCTTAATTAGAGAATACATATGAAAATCATCATCATCATAGATGGATTCCAAAAAAAAAGAGAAAGAGATTAGATCTCACCAAATACATTTTTGAAAAGATACATAAAGGTAAAAGTTTTTCAATATTCAATAACCGTTCAAGTTAAAGAGTTCATTTGTAGACATAAAATATCAAAATTTCATCGATAATCGAATTTGAAATCACCAAATGGACAAGGCTACAAACACAAAATAGTACACTTTTCACTTTTTTCTCACTCTTAGCACAAGATCATCTACTCTCTTTTCTTTATTGCTGTTGGCTGAAAAAAAAAAAAAAAATCATATATTCACATCACAGTGACTTTAGTTTAGGAAAAAACTTTTCCTTTTCTACTTTTTTTTTTTTTTTTTTTTGATGTTAGGTCCACATATAGAGGGAACTAACCCAACAACATACTTCAACCGTGTTGTTCATTAATGTCATTTGGGTCGAACAGAGTTTTAGATTAAAGCCCTCTTTTGAAGAGATTACAAGACATATTTTGAAAGCCAGAAGTTGACACTGCAAACAAGGTAATGTTTCTTAGATTGTAATGAATGTTCATGTATCATGACAGTACGATGAAATGATAGTTTTTTAATAAATTCTAATACAAATGAAAGATGCCATCTGCTTAAAAATATTAAATTAAAAACAATTGAAGTCCTAAAAAAAAAAAAAAGATCAGCCATAGAGATCTAATTAACAATGATTATTAAAATTATTATGCTTGTGAGCTCCGAAGGCAGATGAAGTACTTCTTGAAGTAAATGGCTACATAGGTCTCCTTCTTCTTCTTCTTCTTCTTCTTCTTTTTTTTTTTTTTTTTTTTAATTTTAACTCTTTTGAAATTGAGTTTTTGAACTTTAAATTTGATTTTTACGATCATTTTAATTTCTTAAAAATTTAGTTCATCCTTTCGTTTTTGTTATTTATCCTAACAAATATCAATCACATAAACAGCTTCTTAAATCTTTCAGAGAGATTTATAAAGGGTTCTTCAAAAAAATTGGGATCATTTTGAGTTATTTTCTACTTTTCTTGATTTTTTCTATTTTTCTTGATTTTTTATATTTGTAATGTTAAAAAAATAAATAAATATACTTTTCAATTTTGAAAAATTCTGAAATTTTTCTTGAAAATAGATTGAATTTTCTCAACATGTGGGCAAAACTTGAGCTCAAAATACAAAGAATTAAATTTTTAAAAAAAGTGGGTGATAGCTGAAAATCATTTGATGGATTAAATCTTAAAAAATAAAAAGTTTAGGGATTTCAAAAATAAAATTTGAATTTCAGATATTCAATTTCAAATGGATAAAAGTTCAAGAAATATTTTATTTATATAGGGTTCTTCAAAAAAAATTGGGATCATTTTGGGTTATTTTCTATTTTTCATGATTTTTTCTCTTTTTCTTGATTTTTTTATATTTTTAATGTTAAAAAATAAAAATCATTCAGATAGATTTATATAGGATTCTTAAAAAAAATTGGGATTATTTTGGGTTATTTTCTATTTTTCTTGATTTTTATATTTTTAATGTTAATAAATAAATAAATATACTTGAATTTTAATTTTGAATTTTTTTGAAATTTTTCTGGAAAATAGATTGAATTTTCTCAACATGTGTGCAAAGCTTGAGCTCAACATACTAAGAATTGAATTTTTTAAAAAGGTGGATGATAGCCAAAAATCATTTGATGGATTAAATCTTTAAAAATAAAAAATTTAGGGATTTCAGAAATAAAATTTGAATTTCAAAGATTCAATTTCAAATGAATAAAAGTTCAAGAAATGTTTAATTTATATAGCCGAAATAAATTGGTAAGTTGAAATAATAACAAGCTGACTAATAAAGGAAGTCCTCCCATCATGATCTATGGCCTGCAATACAGCACTCATCCTTGCAAATGCGCCATACATTAAAGGGGCATGGAATCAACAGTTTGATACATCAAAGATGCGACATACACTAAAAAAAAAAAAAAAAAAAGATGGATTTGCGATGGGTATTTAGCGACGGTGAATAAACCGTTGCTAAATTTTAAAATTTACGATGGTTTTAAGGGATTTAGCGACGATCCAAAAAACGATTACTAAAATTGCCATTTGCAACCGTTTTTTTTACAACGGTCTAACCAAACCGTTGCTAACTTCATGAGTTTAATTTTTTCCTCACATGCAGATTGTTTTTGCAACGGCTTTTATGAAAAAAACCGTTGCAAGTTTAGCGACGGTCTAAAAACCGTCGCTAAACCGTTGCTAACGCGAGGAAAAATAATAATAAAAAAAACTATAAGGATGATTAGCAACAATTTTTTAATAAAAAAACCGTTTCAAAAAAACAATTCGGTCTAGCAACGGTCTTGGACCATCGCTAAACCCGTGCTAAACTTAAAAAATAGATTAGCAACAATTTGTTGGTAAAAAACTATTGCAAAAACCTATGTTTAGTGACGGTCTACAAACCGTCGCTAAACCATTTCTAAAATGAGATTATCCGGAAAAAAAAACATTTGTGATTACCAACATTTTTTAAATAAAATAGCATTGCAAAAATATTCGGTTTAGCAATGGTCTCTAGACTCG